CGAGTCTCGCCGCGAGTGTAGCGATAGTATAGCAGAAATTCCACTTCATCGCGAATTTATAGCGATCGCGGTAAGAGCATCACATTTAGCGACTAGAGTGCTATTCGTGTGACGCGTTCATGCTGTGACTTACATCGCGAGTCACGCTGCGATTTTTGCAAGATAGTTGATCTGGGTCTCTAAAACTTGATTTTGAATTTTAAATCTTTTATCTTATTTTCTGTTTATAGCCACACGAAAAATCAAAAGAAAAAAGCCGATAGTGAGCTAGCCAGGCCGTTGGATAGTTGAAGGTATCTGCTATCGGAATACATAACAATCAGACCTTTACCAAAGGTTTCGGGGGTTTTTGAAAAGCTTGACTTTCCCGTAAATTATAATTTATCCACAGAAAACTAAAACTATTCCCAAGTGTGTCAGATTGTAGAGCAGACCTTTCCAATCAAAATAAGGCGTCTCCGATTTCGAAGTAAATCGAAAAATTTTCAAATGCGAGTAAATATCTGAAAATTCTTCTATATTTTCCTGAATCATATAAAAAAAGAATATAGTAAAAATACTCCCAGTAAGAATTTCTCCTTCCTAGTAAGAATTTCCTTTCCTTTCGTCAAAACAGCATTGTATGTCAAAAAAAAACTCATAGAAAAAAAGTTTCTTATCACATGGCAACGTATTATTATCATAATCTTTTTTCGGGATGGCTATAGTATAGTAACTATAGAGTTTTTGTTTCGTCTTGTCGAAACAGCATCATTAAAAATCACATTATTGCACGTCAGCGTATTTTTACTATATTCTTTTTTTATATGATTCCGGAAAATATAGAAGAAGAATTTGACATAGAAAACTTTCTTATTACATTAAGAGGACGTGTTCTCATTTTACTTTGGTTTTATAAAGTAATCTTCCAGTTGAGCGATGAATGCGCTACTAAAAATATTCGACGATTCTAACGAATCCATCGATGACGACGATCCGTATGTTTTGGTGAACATGGCTAAAATAATCATCTCTGACATTGTTAGGGAACATTACCGATGGCTAGGAAGCAAACAAACGAAGGAACATAAAAGCGATAAACGATTAAAATTTTTTAACAATCCCGATCAATGTGTTGATTATATTTCATCATATGAATGGCGAAAAATATTTGTAACACTTTCCGATGAGTTTGCATACATGTTACCGTTGATTCATGATTTACCACAGATTGTTTTTATTTATATATGCGCACCCAAAATGCTTGACATTGACGTTTCCAACGTTCCAAAACTTCGAGGTATATTTAACAATTGGAGTTTACTGTCAAATAGATGTCTTGCTGATCTTCGGGCGTTTGCGAAGGAACTAAGGCCTATTAGAGTAATCCAAGAAGAGACTGTTTGGCTTCGGGATTTAGCAAATATAGAGCTTAATGATCGAATGCATAAATTAATATCAACTGCAGTTGACACTCTAACTGTATTCACGGAACCGGATGACTGCAAGGCCCATATTACATTGTGTGACTGTCCAGTACTTCTCATTCTATCACACCCTAATAGTTATGCTATTGAAACATTTTTATCTGATATACCACAAAAAACGATTTTTATCTTTAAAGCCAATGAAGACAATATTCAAAGTATATGCGATCACTTGGCGATGCGATACTCGCTCTCATTTAGCTTATTTGAGAAGTCTATGGTTCAACAGTCAGTGCGCAATATAAATAATAATAAGTCAGTTTTTTTATTTTTTCAATTAATGTTCGACTTGTGCATATATAGGCCATCTAATTCACCTGGGAAAGATGAATTTCTCAAAGAGTGTCGCAAATATTATGCAAATCAAGATCCATTAAATATAATTAAAGAAAAACTTAATGAATTTGACAGAACATACAAACCTTCCGATGCAATCAAATGGTATACAAGTGATTCGTTCCTATATCGTTTATTTAATCGATCATTACGAACAGAAAATGTTCACTTTTTACAACTATTTAAATTCTTTCTGAAGGATATTCACAGTCAGTTACAACAATTACACTTAGAACAATTTCTTAGTGATAAAAATACGCAAATTTCGTTAACAGTTTATCGTGGGCAAACGATGTCGACATTCGAATTTGACAAAATTAAAAATAATACCGGTCTAATGCTATGCATCAACACATACTTTTCTACTTCAACTGATGTTCAAGTAGCATATATGTATTCTGGTTCCGATTCTGAAAACAAACAGTTAGATATCAAATCTGTTGTCTTCGAGATTAAGATTGAAGACACTCGCCGTCCTACACGAAGACCATTTGCATCGATTGGTGAAATCAGCGATAAGAAACATGAAAGGGAAGTATTGCTTTCGGCTGGCTCTATTTTTCGTATTGAAACTGTAGAAGAATATGACAAGTGTTGGCTCGTTCAATTAACTTTTGTCGAAGATGAGCAAGTGAATAAAATTCGTTGTGACATACTAAATCAATACTACGGTGAAAATGAACGAGGAAATAATTTAGTAGTATTAGCAGCTATTTCAAACGTTATGGGACATTTTAAGCATTTTGAATTGTTCATCAGTATGATCACTGACTATGAACCATACCAACAGTGTGATATTGCAAGTGCGTATAAAATATTGGGAGATATGAATTTGATCAAAGGAAATCATCCGATAGCGACGATATGTTATGAACGCGCATCAGAATATCAATCGAAATCAGAAATGATGTCATCTGACGACGTCAGTACTGTAAATACATTCACGGATCGAAAGAATTATCAATTCGGCGACTTTAGACAATGTTTAGATAATTCCTCACGTGCGGTCGAGAAATGCAACAAACTTTATTCCTCATTTTCTCCTTCAGAGATTGACAAGCTGTCAGTGTATCTCGATGAATTTGATCACACTCATCGAGATGCTAAAATTTCTTTCATGGAAGACAAACATAAACTAAGACGTCTGGAGATTGCAATGAGTAAACTTCTTGAAAATGATGATGGTGATGATGAAGTTGACGATGATGATAACCCGAATCAAGCACTCAGTAATATTCAAATGCCTCCAGCAGATATAGAAAACTATAGCGCATTAGATTTTATTCATCATTCATCTATTGACTTAGATATACAAACTCACAAAGCCTATGAAGTACTGATATTGCTGTATCATAATTTTCTTGTATATAATGTAACTGGCATAAATCTAAATATACCAGTATCATTCGAAATTTCG